TAAGCTGAAATTAGAAGGGATAGGGAAGTAGCTTTAACTAAAGATAACAACTTAGGATAAACCTTACAGACAATCATCTTACACCCCATCTCCAGATTAACTTCTAGTAGGTCCTAGACAATGTTTCAACTGTGGCCCAGTTTATACATGCTGCTTGTAATAAAATCTTAAATAATGTCATTTAAATTTTTCTGTTAATAATAGAGAATACAAGCAATAATGCAATAATAACTTTGAGATAAAATAGTTTCTAATATGACAGAAAAGTATTTTAAAGAATATATAATTATAATCATTCAGCAGTCTCTATAAAGCTAGTTCTCCCCCCCCCCCCCCACCCCCCCCCCCCACCCCCCCCCCCCCCCCCCCCCCCCCCCCCCCCCCCCCCCCCCCCCCCCACCCCCCCCCCCCCCCCCCCCCCCCCCCCCCCCCCCCCCCCCCTTCTTTTTCCCCCCCCCCCCCCCCCCCCCCCCCCCCCCCCCCCCCCCCCCCCCCCCCCCCCCCCCCCCCCCCAAAAAAAAAAACCCCCCCCCCCCCCCCCCACCCCCCCCCCCCCCCCCCCCCCCCCCCCCCCCCCCCCCCCCCCCCCCCCCCCACCCCCCCCCCCCCCCCCCCCCCCCCCCCCCCCCCCCCCCCCCCCCCCCCCCCCCCCCCCCCCCCCCCCCCCCCCCCCTTCCCCCACCCCCCCCCCCCCCCACCCCTTTTTCCCCCCCCCCCCCCCCCCCCCCCCCCCCCCCCCTCCCCCCCCCCCCCCCCCCCCCCCCCCCCCCCCCCCCCCCCCCCCCCCCCCCCCCCCCCCAATTTTTTCCCCCCCCCCCCCCCCCCCCCCCCCCCCCCCCCCCCCCCCCCCCCCCCCTTTTCGTACCCCCCCCCTTAATAAGCTCGTGTTTTTATATGCTAGGAAACACCTTAGCCTTTCACTGCTTTGCTGAATTTCTAACTCTTTGACCGGCACGAGGATTCACTTCGAAATTCAATCCTAAAACCAAATTAATTCAATCTAAATTAATTCATTTTCCAAAACAGCCACGAGAAAGAGTTATTCTCTTGGTTTTAATGCCAAAATGCCTCTGCCACTTTATACCTGGATTTATGTACTTTTAATTTATATTGCTTAGATGTATTTCAAGATACACGGTTATATGCTTTTTTAAAGATGCCACAAAAAATATTCTGGCACACACGACCTTGCGAGTCTGTGGGTTTTAAATAATTTCAATCTGGTTTTAAAACACAGAAAAATCTTTTTCTTGTTCCATTAGTTACAAGCAGAGTTCAGTAAAATTTTAATAATCTTTTGGTTTAAGAGGGAAAAATGCAATTTATTTTTTATAAATTTGTATATTTGTATTTTATTTTGTAGGGGAAGAGGGATAATCATATTTTCTTTCCACAGGCCGATTGATAGAATTCACTTGCGTTTTTCATGTCCGAAAGCTCGACTTAGGCTAGAATATATAGATATATATATATATATATATATATATATAGCACTGCTCTAACATAGGATTTTGACACAAAACAGGACTTTTTCTGATATGACATACGGTAACCCCACGGCTCACGAGCGCCACCTCGGCGCCGGAGAACACCACGAAAAAAATATAGCCTTCAGCGTCTATGGAGTCAAGATACAAGCAGGGTCCCCGAGATTTACTTTTTAACTTAAATGTGTAATTATAACACCTTTAATTGTAATGTTTTATCTTAATTGTGTTTTTTTAATTAGAATTATTTAAAAAGGCCAAGTGAGTCTTTGTTTATGTTAGTTTTGCTTATAATACCAATTTGCCTCCATTTTTCAATTCTACGACTCAAATTATGCGAAAATGCCAAATTTTGTAAAAATCCCATGCGTATTAGTTTTTAAAAAATTAGTAAGTTTTAGGAAAGTAAATAAGAATAAAGCAACGAAGAAAATTATTAGGATCATCATGGAGGTAAAAAAGGAGATTACTTAAAAGTATGTTAATGGGACTTGGGGTATTGCATTGCGTATGCCAAGTGCGATGGCGTCTACGATTGTGGAAAATAAAGATGCTATTAAATCAGCTAAGATTGTGAAGGGTGTAAAACTGATTACCAAACAGAGGCGTTAGATCATGATAAAATATTGCTTTTTTATCTGGATCGCAGAAAAAACATTTATTTACAGTATCATGTGCAATGCATCATTTATATACAATATATATTTCAATCACTGCATTTGTATTTTACTATTAAACAATGTAATAATAAGAATAATAGAGATTTCTTTATATGAACAGATTAATTTTACTCCTTTATTTCCTACTGAAAAAGTTTGTTTGGTATAAGCGCTTTGTATACGTTCCATTTGGTATATCTGTAACGGATTAATAACGTATACCAAAGCATACCCTCCACAACAAAAAGAAAAAGGGGGGAAAAAAAAAAAAAAAAAAAAACTGAAATTTTTCAGATTTTAAATTACGTCCAAAGGGGCGTTTTTTTAACATTTTGAGTGTTACCTTCTTTATTAAATATCATGTTCCTCGCACTTAAACCATAAAATCCAGTGCAACAGCAATATCGCAAAATAATTTTAAAACGAGCATATCTTTAGAATTTCCGATACAGAGACTCACGCGCTGGAGATAAAATGTTTTTTTTTTCTGCACAACGTTGCCATTGCTCGCTTTGAAATCCTTGAGTTTGTTAATCAAAAATTCGTCAAAGTTTTAAAAAATAGGAAATCATAATAAAACAAATTTCAAATTTGGGTTTCCACATGCTCATATTCGTTGGAGGATTACGTTATTCAAAATTCGATGACTCTATGTACCGTTGTTTTATCACAATGCGAGAAATATACATACATTTATGCAGATTTTTCATTATTTAATTTCTTCAAATATAATGCAGGACTCTAACATTTTATGGCAACAGTTTGAAAAGTGAACCGACATTTATGAGTCCGACGCAAAATGCCAAAACGAACTAACAATAGTCCTTCGGGATTCAAATCCCTTTGGACTAAAAAAAAAAAAAAAAGTTTCAGATTTTTAATTATACCCAAAGGGGCGTTTTTTAACGTTTTGTGTATTACCTTTCTTTATTAAACATCATGTTCTTCGCACTTAAACCATAAAATTCAATTCAACAGAAATATCCCAAAATAATATCAGAAAGAGCATATCTTTAGAATTTCCGATACACAGCCTCACGCTCAGGAGATAAAAGCGTTTCTCCCCCCCTCCTATAGAGTTACCATTGCTCGCTTTGAAATCGCTCAGTTTGTTAATCAAAAATTCATTAAAGTTTTGCAAAATATGAATTAGATAATAAAGATTCCAGATTCCAAATTTGCGCTTCCAGGCACAACTTAATGAGAAATTCAACAATTTATTTTGGCGCATTTTGTTCAGTTTTCGCCAAGAAATGACGAAATTTTTAATTTATAATAACCTATTCTTCTTCCTCTTTTTAACTTACGCGTAAGTGGAAAAAAGAAGTTCATCGTTCATTCTCTCAAATAACTTTTAAATAATCTTTACAAAGTGCGTAAACCACATTTGGCGGTATTATCGTTCATAAAAAGTATGCCAAATTTCAAAACGCGCCAATATATAACTTCACTTATATCTTGGGAGATTTTGAATAAAAAAACTGTAATTTACGTAGGTATTCCTAGAAATACATCTACTTTAAGGTAATGACAAAAATTTTACAGGTTTCACAAATATTCACAAATGTTTTTAAAAAATTTTCTGAAAATTACTAAAAATACAAATTAAAAAAAAAAAAAAAAACCACCAGAAAATAGTTTGTTTGGATTGAATCTAAATTTCGGGACTGTGAAAGAAGAAATCAAGTAAGTTTAATAAAAAAAAAAGAGATATTATTAAATATATAACAAATTCAATTAACACTGAGGAGCTAAAATTTTCAGAGCTAATTTTTTACAAACTACTCATGCGATTTTTACAAAACTTTGCATTTTTTTATAATTTGAGTTGTAGAATCCATATATGGAAAAAAAATAGTTACGTCATTTCAAAAATGTCCGATTTTGTTTCAGAATACCTATCTTAGAACAATGTTACGAGTATATATGAATCTAATACATATCCTAAGTTACGCGTTCGAGACATGAAAAAAATGAAGTTAAATGAAGTCAGTCGGCCCAGTAGAATGGGAGATATAGAACTGTTCAACATTTTGTGCAAGGTATACCTTATGGTCGAGTTAGGAAGTAGTGTTCTTAAAGAATATTATAATTGTTAGTCCAGATGGGCTTTGTCCCTGAAGGACTATTGTTTTGCGTTGGTTCACTATAAATGTCCGTTTCACTTCTCAAACTGTTGCCATCGAATGTTAGAGTCTGCATTATTTTGAAGAAATTACCAGTGAAATCTGCATAAATGTTGTATTTTCTCGCATGTGATAAAACGTACTAGAGTCGTCGAATTTTAATGGCGTAATCCACTGCGATTGGCATGCGGAAGCCCATTTGAAATTGTTATATCGATTTCATATTTTAAAACTTTAACGAATTTTTGAGTACATACTCAACGATTGAAGCGAGCAATATGGCAATAGGCAACAATCTACGGGAGGGGAAAAAAAACAAACTCAACGATTTCAAAGCGAGCAATGGCAACACAGTATCCAGAGCGCGTGAGACTGTGTATCCGAAATTCTAAAGATATGCTCTTTAGTTTCTTTTATATATATTGCTGTTGGACTGAATTTTATGTGTTTCAAGTGCGAAGAACATGATATTTAATAAAAGAAAGTAACACACGCAACGTTAAGAAAATACCTTTTAGGCGTATATAAATTCTGAAACCTTTCAGACTTTTAAAATTTTTTTATTATTATTATTGATATTAATTTATAGTCTCAGAAATACTGGTCTCTTTTAGTTGCGAACGTCTACGGGACTTGGTCGCCACATTAATGTTCAACTATAGTTTACTTTTGAATTATTTAATTTTTACTATAGGATAGTATGAAAACGCACAAAATTCTTACTTTACCATCAGAGAAAATACGGATTTAACAGACAGTTAAATGATGGCGTATAATGATCCGGATGGACTGTAGCCGCAGACGGGGTATCTGAAATTCTAATATTCCTTTAAAAGTTTCTTTTGAATGTAAGAAATGATAAATCTTTGATATCTAACAATGGTACATTCGTTGAGAAGTTATTCATTTTGTGTTCTAGGAAGTCATACATAAATTTTCATGAAAATAACTGAACGGAAAGCGCGTGGAATTTCCGTTGACATCATATTAAAATGTCGCGAAAGTTCTACGAAATATTGTTTATCGCAAATGGAATATTTGCTCCTTGTCGCCTGTGAATCATAGGTGTTTAACTTCACGCGCTTGTATGTTCAGCCGTCGCAGATGCAACTGCTGCTGCCACAAGATGATGACAAATCCGGGAATGGAACTCTGAAAGTGTCATTTTAAGCATGCGGGGGGGGGGGGAAATAGCAATTCAGATTCTAGTAGCTGTTAGTTATTATTATTTGCATATAATTTGTAATTTATTTTTTGGCGTTGTTAAAGAATAGGCTGCATAGAATTAAACTATGGAATTAAGCTACTTTTGAGAGTGAATGTAACGATGGATGAAATGGGTATCTCTTTATTAAGAAAATTATCAAGAAAAGTTTAAATCATTAAAACAAATATGGTAAAATCGCCATTACCTGAAGTATATGAACAGTTAGTTCTTTCGATAGTTCCAAATTCAGATAAAATCAAATACCACAGCCAATTTCAGGATTAAGATCACAGATTTTTATGGTATGGTATCGTTTTCAAATCCCTTATCATATGTTAGGAAATTCATTGTTACGTAAATACAAGACGAATATGCATTCACATTTATTTCTGAGGAAGAGAATTTATTTTAATGCTAACTCTTTAATAATGATAAAAAGGTTCATTATTTTAATATCCATATTTTGTCTCACTTTAAAGTTAAAAAATAAAATACTAGAAAGCAACATAAGTAAATAATTTTGTGTTACAGCCTATATGGAAGAAGAACACACGAAAGTAAAATATAAAATAAAACAGAAATTTAAAGTTGCATACCTATATAATTTTATATTTTATATAATATATTTGCATCCATTTTAAGTATGTTTTAAAATATCCTCCAGACAGCAAAACGGTTTTATGTTTTACTTTCTTGTACGAACTAAAGGAAGTATAGTAATCGCGAAAAATTTCGGGTGTCATATTTTAATGAAAATATCCATTTTGACCGCTCTCGAATCTATTTCAATGATTTTTTGCATGACATCTGTACTCATGGACAGAAAAAAGGACCCCTTTTCCAAAACTGATTTTAAAATGGATTCAGAAAAATTTTCGTGACGTCTGTACGTACGCATGTACGTAGACATGTATGTATCTCCCATAACTCCAAAACGAGTACATACAAACACACACACACATATATATTTATATATATTTCCACTCTGTTACCCGGCTTGCTGCTTAGTTTTTTATTCTTAGATCCTCGTAAATTTTGCATTTTTTGCTTCGAAAGTTATTAAATTATGTTGTTCTTATGTTTCGGTTGAGAATTCTAGTTTTCAGCCAAAAACATCGCGGACGAAAACGTCGCAGAGAAAACAACGCAAGGTGGAAACGTCGCGGTACAAAACATCGTGGAAAAAGAGAAAGCAAAGAGAAAACACCGCAGTTCTAAAACATCGTGTTACAAAATATTGTGGTCGAAAATAAAGTAGTTCAAAAACTTCTCAGTGTAAAAACATCGTGGTGGAAAATGTCGTGGTAAAAAATAAAGTACCTACAAATCATCGCAGGATGATAACATCGCACACATGCGTTTTTCAAATCCCATACTGACATATTATGTAACTGACTTTCGTCATAACTAACAAATCGACATCCAAAAAATTGATTGCACGCTATACATGGAACTGTTAATGAAACTTTAAGAATAAACGAAAACAAAACAAAATATAATTTTCATTAAAACAATCTCAGATTAACAAATGTGAAAGAAAATGATTTTATAATTTTTATTGAGGTACTCTCATGCAATTATTTATCTCCCTTTTTCTAAGCATTTTTAGACTGTAATCTTCATAAAATTATTAGTAAAACGTCGTAGAGAAATGTTAATTTATTAATGACCTTTGTTAATTTGTAAATTTAAAATTCTGTTAAGTTCTGTAAGTTGCATTAATTTTCTACTCATTTTCAGTTTTTAAATACTTAACTTTCCTTCTCATTTTTTCAGCAAAAATTTAGAAGTTCATTAAAATTATGAAATATAGAATTAAAAGAATCCTTCTTTCCTTCTTGCGCTCCCACATCATTATGCCAACATGCATTTACAACTTGTAAAACCTGGAAACACATGTATGCGATGTTATCGTCACGCGATGATTTGTAAGTACTTTATTTTTTACCACGATATATTCGACGACGATATTTTTAAACTGCGAATTTTTTTTAACCGCTTTATTTTCGACTACGATATTTTCTACAACGATGTTTTACAATTGCTATGTTTTCTCTTTGCTTTCTTTTCTCTCGTGATGTTTTGCACCACGATGTTTTCACCTTGCGTTGTTATCTCCGCGGCGTTTTCGTTTGCGATATTTTTGGCGGACACCGAAAATTATGCATTTAGTTAATCTGCATGCAATATTATAGAATTATAACCAATTTAAAAGTTTAAATGGCGCTAGGCCTAACAAGGCTAGTATATCGCGGGTGTAGGTTTTTGACTTAGATTGCTAGATTAAAGTAAATTGTGTAGTGTAGCACTGCATTTTTACCTTTTGAATTTAATGTTAAATTAATAAACGAGAAGCAGTTAAGCTCGGCTTCAGAAGCTATTATAAAGGTAAACTACGGTTATATTATTTACCAGTGTTATTTATTAGAAAAACTGATTTTTATGTTGATATTTTTGGGGGTGCGGAACGGATTAACTGGATTCCCATTATTTTCAATGGGGAAGTTTGTTTCTAAATACGAGAAATTCGCTATACGAGACCAATGTTCGAACAAATTAAACTCGTATCTCGAGGTTCCACTGTGCTTACGTTTGGAGCGGCAAACTGCAACCAAAAAAGAATACGCACAACTACATGTGTAAGAGAGAGACATTAGGTATATTTTGAAGCAGGCAAGATGAAAAATTAGCAACGCCTTCGCCGGGAATCGAGCGCGGACCTCTCAACAACGCGCTGAGCGTACAGACCACTACACCACGAAGGCTCGCTAAGAAGGCGGGAGAAATACCTTATATACTTCCCCTTTTAATGGGAGACTGGGGTATTTAGGAAACCCAGTCGCCAAATTCTGGGTTAGGAGAATCATCATCCAATACCCTTTTAGTTCGGGCGCCACTGTAGAGACATTAGGTACTTTTGGAAGCAGGCAAGATGAAAAATTAGCAACGCCTTCCGCCGGGAATCGAACGCGGACCTCTCAATAACGCGCTGAGCGTACAGACCACTACACGAAAGCTCGCTAAGAAGGCGGGAGAAATACCTTATATACTTCACCTTTTAATGGGAGACTGGGGTATTTAGGGAACCCAGTAGCCAAATCCTGGGTTAGGAGAATCATCATCCAACACCCTTCGGGCGCCATTGTAGAGACATTAGGTATTTTTGGAAGCAGGCAAGAGGAAAAATTAGCAACGCCCTTGCCGGAAATCGAACCGCGGACTTCTCAATTACGCACTGGGCGTGCAGATCACTACACCACGAAGTCATGTTAAGAAGGCGGGAGAAATACCTTAAACATGTTATAGCAGGCCCATATTCAAAATTTCAACCCTCTAAAACTGCTCATTTTAAAGTTATATGAGATACAGACGTCATTAAAACATCTCTTCTGAATCGATTGTAAATCCATTTAACGATCCGTTTTGGAGAAAAGAGTCCTTTATTATGTCTTTGTGTACATATATCACGCAAAAACATCGTTCACATATATCCGAGAGAGGTCAAATGAATATTTTCGTTGGAATTATTCGCGTTAGAGTAATTCCTTTACTTCGTACAACGAAGTAAAAAGCGATCTTTTACAAGCATCTGTACTTGTATACACAGGGCTGTAAAAGATCGCAATTTATTTGTAAGTGTTCCCAAAAAATTAAATAAAAATAAAATATATTTGCGGATGTCTCTTCAAATGATAGTCTTCAAATGAAATAAACCTGATAAATATGTAGAGATAAATATGTTGTAACGTATTTTCTAGACAAAGGTTTTTAAAACTTTATTTCAATATTTCATTACGTAGGAAGATAACTAATGAAATAACATAATGCTTAAAGAATAGCACCAAGCACTAATAAATAAATAAAGAAATAAATGAATATTTGATATCCATTGCAATTCTTAAATCATTCCAAAGAAAGCAATGGAACAATGAAGTTCAAAGTTCTTTATGTGATAAATTGATTCTTATTTTGGGTGAATCTTATGAAGGAGTCTTTAACGATAAATTAATTCTGACATGTCAATATAGATAAAATAGTTCAAACAGCGAAATGATATGCCAGTTTTAATGAAAAAAAATTAGACTATATTCTTTTCAAAAAATCGATATGAAACTTCGAAGAGAAAGTAGAATTTAAATATCTTATGTTACCATTAAGAAACAGCATACTAATTGCTGTGTCAGACAACTGCTTAGTTTTCTTGTTAATATTTTGTGGCAACGATTAAACTTCATCTAAAGTTGCCATAGTAACGATAAGCTTAGAGCAACAAAGTTTCTAGCCTAGAAGAGCTATTAGTCTCGAAATTGCATTTTACGTCGGTTCACTATAAATGTCCGTTTCATTTTTCAAATTGATGCCACCAACTCTTTTTGTCCTGTATTATATTTAAAGAAATTAAATAACGAAGAATCTGCATGAATGTATGTATGTTTCTCGCATTGTGAAAAATCAATGGGACCTAGAGCCACCAAATTTTCAATAACGTAGTCTTCCACACGAACATGGGCAACTGGAAGCCCGAATTTGGAATTTGTTTTATTGTTTACTTCATATTTTGTGAAAACGAATTTTCGATTAGGAAACTCAGCGATTTCAAAGCCAGCAGTGGCAAAACTTCACGGAATAAAACATTTTTGTCTTAACTGCTTGTCGGAAATACTAAAGATATACTGTTTTTAAAGATTTTGTGATTTTGCTGTTGAATCGAATTTTATATAGCGTAAGCACCAAGAATGTGCTATTTAATAAATAAAGTAAA